GAGATTAGCCGAGATTAGCCGAGATTGGCCGAGATTAGCCGAGATTGGCCGAGATTAGCCGAGATTAGCCGAGATTGGCCGAGATTGGCCGAGATTGGCCGAGATTGGCCGAGATTAGCCGAGATGGACTCCTGCGTGGCGAGAGCGGCGACCTGAGGGAGACGCGAGGAAGGGCGTCACGGACGTGTCGTGTTATACTCGCGGGCGCGGCGACGGTGGGGGTGGCGATGGTGGCTGGGGCGGACTCGGGTCGGGGCTGACCGGGGGTCGGCGGCGGCGGCGGTGACGGCTCTGGTGAGCCGGGCGAGGGCGGTGGCGGCGACAGCGGAGGGGGTGGGGAGGGCGGCGGCGGAGAGGGACGCCCCGCGGGGCGGGGGGGCGGCGCACCGCCGCCGAGAGGACGGCGAAGACGGGGCAGATCAGGTAGATCTCGGTGATGATGGAGGCGCCGACCTTCCGAGCGAGGCGGAGGAGACGTCTCTGCCGAAGCACCGCCGAGAGGCAGCCGAGAGGCGGCCGAGAGGCGGCCGAGAGGCGGCCGAGAGGCGGCCGAGAGGCGGCCGAGAGGCGGCCGAGAGGCGGCCGAGAGGCAGCCGAGAGGTGGCCGAGAGGCAGATTAGAGCGGGCCGACCTTCGGAGCCAGCTCTGCGACAAAGGCGGGCGCGAGGAGCGCAAAGGCGGAGAAGGTGGTGGCGATGCCGACGCAGAGCGGGACGATGGCCTTCGCGCGCTCGGCCTGGGCGAGGTACGACTCCGCCTCCGCCGCGGCCTGCAGCGTCACCGCCGCGATCTCCTTGCCTCGCGCCACCTCGACCTTGCCGTTGAACTCGGCCGACAGACCGATGGCGGCGGAGATGGCGCTCATCGAAGGGACGAGCACTTCGACGAGCTTCTCGGAGAGGCCGAGCGGCGCCACGCCCGCCACCAGCACCGTCAGCGACAGCGCCAAGAAGGACGTCTGCGACACCTGCGGCCGCGCGCCGGCCGCCTGGTCCAGCATCGCCATGTCCCTCTGCAGCCGTTGCAGAGAGACCTCGACGGGCATGCTGCGCGTCGCCTCGCCCGCGGCGGAGAGCTTCTCGCCCAGACCCGATAGCACCGACAGGGCAGCCTCGCCGGCCTGGTTGGCCTGCTGCTGTGCGCCGCTGGCCGCGGGCTCGGCAGGCGACGGCGGCGGCACGCTCGCCGCGGCCGGCGCGGGAAACGCAGATGGCGGCTGCTCTACGGCAGCCAAGCGCGGACTCGCACAGCGGGGACGCGCCAGCGTCGGAGCAGCCAGCCGGAGGCCGCTGGCCAGCGGCAACAGGAAGTGCCAGCAGCTTTGCCGCATTTTACGCGACACAAGAATGTTACCGGAAAACTCCCTCACCCGACGGATCCCAAGGTGCCAGTGCGGCATAGCTTGGACGCTGGTGCGCTGCCAAACCTTTACGGCGCGACATTCAAGCGCCGCTTTAACCATCGTGACTTTGGTTGCAAGTCGTTGAAGGAGCTCGTGGCCAAGCTTGATCGGTTGGGGACCTTGATGAAGGGGGACAAGATGCATGTCGTCGCAGCGGACGAGCTTGGCCTGCTCCGGCGCAAGAAGCGCTACCGAAGCGGTATTCCAGTGCCTGCGGTGCAGGGCGGTGACACGGAGCCGGCAGAGTCTGGCCAGATCGCGGCGGCGAAGCGAGCACGGACAGAGGCCGCGGCACAGGCGACCCATGATGAG